AAGAAGCTGTCGAAGCAACACCCATAACCAAAAATCAACAAAACTCTATAGAACAGGTAGACTTCCTCGATTTGCTCCCGAACCAGCCTGAGTCACGCCTGTTGCCTTTGTGCCACCATCTCCAACCTGCTGCGAAGGGCACGTGCGCAACTGCAAATCATCAGAGGCAGAGGCAAAGTTTCTCATGAGCGCCTGGCCTTCATCCCCTTCACCATGGAGCTGCCAGGTGGTACCGTTATCTGATGTCACAGGGCTCACTTAAACTGGGCGACTCGTTTTGGCAGGACATGCCGGGCCTTTGCGGGACCAGCTTCGCCAAGAATGATTCCAGCCTGCGCAGAAGAATTTCAGAGGCTTGCGCTCTGAAGCCATTCAGCAACGGCCTTCGTCTTGAAGGCTGCCTGTCGTCAGGGATTGCGCGATGGTGCTCTTTGAAGTGCTTCGCTTCGTTTCTCGCATCATTCAACCTGCTCTAAAATCGAGCCAGCCTGAATCACGTCTCGTGCGATACTTCCAGCGGCCTCTGCACCAACTACGTAACTACTTGCCGTGAAGTTTGCAGTAGCTCTGATGCGGACCGGGCCTTCCTCGTCTTCGGGCTTCACCTCGTGCTCGGTGCCTCGCGCAGCACATCTCACATTGGCGGGCGACTTTTTGCGCAAGACACCCGGCCTTCAGCATCACGAGACCAACGACCATAAGCTTGATGCTTCCAGCCGTCATTCCAGCCTGCTGCACAGGCTGCTGTGTGGGGGCACGGCACATCGAATCACCATCAGGCGGCACGGCCTCCGCGCCAACCCTGCCGATGGTATGGCATTGCTAGACTATAGAACTGGAATTTCGGGCTGCAGATTATTTGAGCCTGGCGGCATTCCGGCAACGCCAAGATCGAACATCTGCAGAGACCAACCATATCATGATTCTACACTTCCCACACCCACCGTCACATGTAGGATCCGAGCTTCGCATGCAAGCTCACAGCAATGGCCTTTGATCTTCTACGGCGGAACGCCGAAGTAGCGGTCGCAACTTTCCACCTTGCCACAAGGAAAAGGCTCTGAGGTTAAGATGTCGAAAGGATGGGCTGTGCAAGGCAAGCTTCGGCAGATACCATGTGACGCAAACTTTCTTTCTGTTTGGGTTTCCCAGCTGCTGTGGACCACACTGTCGTCCCCGGCGCGCTGTCACGAGAGTTGGTGCAGTTTGGAGCGCTCTTCACATTCGCGAGGTCCCATGCACACACATCACCTGAGCTGGGTGGAGTTTATGCTTCGGTAATTCGTTGGGCTTGCAGGTGTTCCCCCACAGATTTACAAGGGGATCTTCACTTCAACAGTTCCTGGACAAGCCAAAGTTGCTTCAAAATCGCAAGTCTCCTTTGAACGGTGGCTGTCCCTGTGCAAGTGTGTCTCAACTTCATTCGTCAACTTTGGACAGGGGCTGGCCGCTTCAAGCTGCGACGTTGCCACCAGTGTTCCAACCATCACAAAATTATATCACAAATAATGGCCCGGGACCGACTGCGAACATGCAGACCACGAGTGATGCCCAGGGCCTCGCACACAGCCAAGTCGGAATTCACACAGAATCCACCACTTGGAGCATGCTTCTGTCTCGCTGTGGGGTCCCAAGTGCGGTCCTGCACTGTTCTCACTTGAGAGATGTCTGCACGCCGCGTCTAATTACCGTGTCCAACTTCGCCGGAGTGTGCCTCGCTGCAGACGAGTCATCTGGGCTCAGAGGCTGCCAGGCGACCGATCGGACAGACAGGCTACAGCTGAAGAGCAGGGCGGTGCCTTCTCATCGTGCATCGCGGAACTTTGCCAACAAATGCCACCATGCTTGGCCAGACCGCAGCCGGATGTGACTGCCCTCATGATTGCACAACCCAGCACACCGCTGGCCGATCCTGAAAGGTGCAGTCATTTGCTGGCACACGATTCACCGCCGTCGTTCGTAGTTGCAGCAGCTGCAAGTCCTTCAGTTTCACGGTGCTGTCAGTCCCATCCCGTGTCGAAGAGATCCGCTACGTTCGAGCCTCTTCCCATTGCTCGACATCTTTAGCAAAGCCGACGGTGGTGCAGTGTCAGACCAGGTTCGGCTTTGTTGACCACAACAAATGTGTCGACAATGATGGAGAGGTGGCCCACCCATTTACAGCTCGGCATGCTCGGACTTCAGCACGGCTTCTTCCTGACGTCGGAAGGCGGTGTGCTGCGCAACCCCTGACACAAACCCGTCCATTCGGAGAAGCTGGAGACCCTGAATCGGTCAAGCAGGCATGATGGCACCCCAAGAGGGCCTAACATGTTGTTTGACGGTTCCTGGAGGTGCCGCCACCATGTCTAACCCGGTTTGAAACATCCAGCCTTGCTGCACACAAAGCTCGTGATATCGCAAGGCCATGCCCAAAATGCAAGAGGAACATCTGCAAACGGTTCATCATTCTTCTCATGCAGTCCTTTCCTATATGCCTTCCACAACCCGCCCCTAGTCCCGCCCCTGAACACGGCTAGAAGAGAGAGCTATCAAGTCTGTCAACCGAGTGTCTGTGAGGTAGTACCGCCACATTGCTCCAGCCCGTCGCAGCCGTGCTCGCGCATGGTGCAGGAAGGTCTCGGCGGAGCTGTTGGGTTGAAATTGCCGACACCATGTACATCAACTCCGTGACCCTAGGCACTACCGCCCACAAGATGCGTTTCTGCTTCGGACTTGCTTGCTGCTTTGGACTTGCTCAGCTCACAGCTCGAGTCAAGTACCCGGGAAGATGTTCGGCCCGCCTCAAGCTTTCGGATGGTGTCCTTCTCATCCTGAGCATAGGCACTAGATTCACTAGATTGCGCAGGCCATCTCGTTGTCTTTGTGGCTCCAAGCTGCTCGACGCAGTGTGACCGCCATCCGCAGATTCGGCAGCAACGAGCTGTCGGACAAAAGCTGCTCCTTGGCGGCATGCAAACCCCAAGTACCCCCACCACATCCCCCATGCTTCGACGACGCCGGTGCCCCCGCGACCCGGTCTGGCTCTTCGCAAACAGGCCAAACCCCGAAGCGACACAATCGCAGGCACAGCCCATCCATGCCCATCCTTTGCAATTGTCAGTTCGAAACAACAGCTGCCGGACGATCGGCCGGTGCTGAACTCGGAAGTCCCTCACAATCGCAGAAGCCAGGTGCCCACCCGAACTCTTTACAGCTCCCAGGAATGTGTCCTCCTCCTCCAAAGATCCGCCGGCGAGGCTCTGCCTGGAAGAAGAGGTGTGGGCTCAATTGGAGTCATTACGCGGCTTCACAGGACATTAGTCTGGACATTGACATGATGTGAACAAGTGACAGTGCGGGCAGTCAGGTTGCACGCCTTGAGCATGAAACTACTAGTGTCGTAAGCCTTTGGAGTCCGGTATGCCGGCCCCGTCCCGTGCCATTTGGGGGAGGCCTGGCCGTTGCCAGGGCGCCTTCGATGAGGTCCAAAGCCTGCTGGAGCTTCCGCTACGACCTACTTCCTGCAGGACGCCTACATACGCCTACTTCAATGTGCTCACACAGGGTGACGGGCACTGCATCAGAACGACTTCGCGGGGATGGAAACCTTGACCATCGTTATCCGCTGGCTGCAACGTAGTCCTCGCTGCCTTCTGCTCGGCACTGACAGTGTGGAGGAAACAGGCAATGTCCAACTTCCACTCCTGACCCAGTGAGACGAGCTCCCAGCCACAAAGAACTCTGAATGAATTCACAAAAAAATCTTTCTTCGACTTTCCTGGCGCTGTCAAAGAGGCCTCGCACAGTCGCAACTACCGGAAGCATGAAATCTCCAAGGACAGTGCCCCGTTTCATCCCTTCATGCCAAGACGGCACGGCAGGCTGTAACTTAGGGCGGTGGTCTTGTCACAGAATCAGGCTTTCAGAAGCAGCCAACTCGCAGCCAGCATCGAATGGGCATCTTTGGCCAGCAGTACTATGTGTCACTCGAAGCATGGACCGTCAAAGGGTGATGCAACTGCAGCCTTCAAATCTGTCGTGGGGCCACCCTCGTCACCACGTCCATGCAAAGGGCCACACGTGCAGCCAGCTAGACTGAGCCCGCATCGCGGGGCTAGGTGGGGTTGGGAAGTATGCAAAACAGATGCACTCCGTTGCTGACATACTGCTTGGAAGAAGCAATCGGCAACCCCTCTGCCAGACTTGGCCTCTAATCGAAGTTGCACAAATGAGTATGCCTTCTGATTACATCACTTCGCAGCAGACGGCAGATTCTACAGCCGCCTTCTCGCGAAAGCCGACGAGTTTGGCGGCCAAGTCCTTAAGCTGAGCCCCCTGACTCGTGCTACTAATCCATTCCTCTGGAATCGCGCTTTCTGTACCAATGGATCCATAGCATGCACCTGCAAGTGTAGCTCGGCTGGCAGTGCAACCTCCAGTTTGGATGCTGACCTCCACGGCCTGTTTGTAGTCAGGTTCCAGTGCACAGTGGAGGGGCAAAACCATTGACTGAGGCAAAGATCAGGCAAGACCGGCGAAGGGGAATCCAGCAGATTCAGGCTTCAGCTTCATGCCTACCTCTGAGTGCGGCATTCCGGAAAACTCGCCCACAACCCGGGCAAGGTTTGCTGCCACTTCGTCATCCAGGTTGGTTTTGAAGGCACGGTCTGGATTTGCCAGATCCGCCTGGGCTGCTGCGATTGCCTCGCTGACAGTCGGAGTTCCAAGAACCAACTTCTCAAGGACGCGTGCAAATCCGCAGGCGAACGCCGAAGCTTTGTCGGTGTTCTGCGTGACTCGGACGGCGGTGTCCACACAAGGCAGCAAGGCCGGTTCACCGGCCAAGAGAGCCACAAGAGGGGCAACTTTGCAACAGCCATCCACCTGGCCAAGCCAAACTGTTGTGGAGTATCATTGCGCCGTTTTGAGTGGGGGGGCGGGGGTCAGGGTAGGAGATGTTCCTCATTAGATGTGTTTCGGAATGCTACCATTGACCAATTTTTCAAGGGATAGCATGTCTAACGTCTTCCGGCCTGTTCATCGCTGGAACCGCAATCTGGGGACTTCTTCTTTTCGACGACGTAGTTCTTGAGGAAGCCCTTGACGGAGCCGTGGCGCCACGGCCCAGGCAGCGGCATGCTCCACTTCCTTTCAGCCTCGATCACATTGCCGTCTGCGTCTGTTGGGTTCTTTTTGAGCTCTGGCCAATTCTCCTGATCCACAGCCTCCACCTCATAGGCACTCCCTTTGCCAAACTTGCCCTCCAGGCGAGAGCAGTAGTCCTCCACGTCCAACTTCCCCTCGCAAGCAACCAGGGACTCAAGGAGCGCCATGGTCTGATCTCCGTAGCAGCTGAAGCCACCGGGTGGGGGTGTGTAGAAGACATTGCCCGGGGGATCGCAGAAGGCCGGACCGCGCTTTGCCGCTTTGAGGTGCTCTGCGAGCTTGCTGGGGTCATAACACCAATGGCACGGGACGGCGGCTGCATCGGCCACCAAGCACCCGACCACGGCCCCCCTGGCCCTTGAGGCCAGGCTGGCTGCAGCCATGGGAAAATGTCGCCGAGGGGATTTTGCAGGTCCTCTGTACCTTGCTCGCAGTCGCCTTGAACCATCGAGCAAGTGCAGTTTGGCTCTGGATACCCGACACAGCCAAGACCCATTGCTTCAAATTCAAAACCTTACATACACCTTCAACTCCAAGCAATCAGCAGCAAAGCTGCAGCCGTTCTCAACACACGCGGGTCCTTCCAGGACGCCTGCAGCTATGTGGCGAGGGTTGCGACTTCGGATTTGCATTGCAAGTCTGTACTTGCTTGGGTCGTTGGGGTGGGTGACATGATACTCGAACGAAAATAGCCTGCACTCGCTCATGGAACCTTCCTTTTAAGCTCCAAAGAACAGCGCCGAACCGAGCAACACGTTCCTTACAGACCCAACTCTCCCGGCTTGGTTGACCTGGTTCAAGTCCAGGCCGCAGCGCTTGAGAGACGCAGGGCCTGCAAAGATGGAAAATCCCTTCCGCACTTGACAAGTCTCATGCATGCCATGCGACTGATAGTTCTCATCACAGGAAGATGACTTTGCCCGACGGGGCATTGCAAGTAATTTTGAGTCGGCAGCTATGGTGCAATTGAGAACGGAAGGAGGTTGGTCAACGAAACCGAAAAGAAACAGCTGTTGGCCACCACGAACCGAAATGCATGCCCGACAGCCACTCAGCAGAGATCTGAAGTAAATATCCAAAAACCCAAACCCGAGACCCGACTCCACTTGACCTTTAAAACACTTTAAAACCTGGACCCTACCCTCCTCAAACCTCTAAACCTCAAACCCTTGGAGCCTTGCTCACAAGACCAAAGGCGCGCAAAGGCCAAGGCGTCAGAAAGGCCAGGGCCAGGAACTGCAACAGAGAAGGGCCCATCATTGTATGTTTCTTTACTGCCACTGTCAGATGACCGTGAAATACTACGAACAATACTGTTGCTGATGATGATGATGATGACGACGATAACACCAAGAGTAGTAGTAGTAGTAGTAGTAGTTGTTGTTGTAGTAGTAGTAGTAGTCGTGGTGGTGGTGGTAGTAGTAGTAGTAGTCGTTGTAGTGGTAGTAGTAGTAGTAGTAGTAGTCGTGGTGGTGGTGGTAGTAGTAGTAGTAGTCGTCGTAGTGGTAGTAGTAGTAGTAGTAGTAGTAGTAGTAGATGATGATGTAAATAGCAAATGTAAATGTAAATGCAAATGAAAATAGTAGTAAATAGTAATAGTAGTAGTAGTAGTAGTAGTAGTAGTCGTAGTAGTAGTAGTAGCAGCAGCAGTAGCAGTAGCAGTAGTAGTAGTAGTAGTAGTAGTAGCAGCAGTAGTGTAGTAGTAG